CACATCAAAGTATTGGAGAAACCTTTTTAAAGTCACTGTGACTTTAAGTCGCTTATATTTGAACGGCTGCAACTGGAATACACAGGCTGTGACTTGACATGCGATTTTATGTATCCAAAGATGCATAACAAGTCACACAAGTGTGAATGGAGCCTTAGAGACAACAGGAAGTGAACTCAAATCTCCTCAAGGAGAGAGGAATTTAGACAGTTATCACCTGAAATTCAAAGATTTCCCCTCACAGCTTGCTCTCTCGACAGCTCTAAAAAAAAATAAAAAATTATATATATATATGTGTGTCTATATATATATATATATATATATATATATATATATATATATATATATATTTATATATATATATTTATTTATTTATCACCTATATGAAAAGACATTGACTGGCTTGTTCTGAAAGTGTTAACAGCGCTGCAAATATGTATGTTTATCATCAGAAGCGGGATTAAGTGCTGTTCCTTGGCACTTGGCTGGGAGAAGCAGGGAGGGGAATATGTGACTTTATTTTGCTGTCTTATTGACTAGACTAGAGAAAAAATCCAAATTTGGGCACATATGCTACATTTAGATGTCTGGAGGTCTGTAATGAAAATATTGGGCAGAGGGAGAAGGGGCCGGGAATGCTACATTTAGATATTGTCTCCTGCAAAGAACTACTTTGTGGTCCAGCTTGTAAGAAACGTTAAAGGTGATTGAACTGAACAAGACTCAACCAGTCATCTGCCAAAGCTTTTAAGACCTATATATTTCAGCCAAATAAATTATGTATTAGTTTTCATGTAAGGGAAACTCAGCATGTACCTATTCTACTGTTCAGCTTGTTTAATATAGCAAACAACAATTGGAAAAGTGCAGTGTTTTTCCTTTCCATAAAGTAGTACTTATTCACTTGCAATGTGCCTTTGAATGTGTTAGGACAGTGGGTGTCAAACTGTCGCCCGGGGGCCAGATGTGGCCTTTTGCGTCCCTTTATCTGGCCCTTGGATCACCATTCCCCCTACCGATACCATCAATGGGGCATTATTCTTCCCACTGATACCAAAAATGGGGCACTATTCCTACCATTAAAACCAATGACGAGGCACTGAGGCTGGGACATTTTCTACTTTCAGTACATAATAACACAGCAAAATAAATGTCATCCAGGTAGGTCAGTGGTCACCAAACTGCAGCCCAGGGGCTGGATGTGGCTCTTTGCTTGCCTTTATCTGGCCCTTGGATCATCATCCCACCTACCGACACCATCAATGGGGCATTATTCTTCCCACTGATACCAAAAATGGGGCACTAGTCCTACCATTAAAAACAATGATGAGGCACTGATGCCGGGACATTTTCTACTCCTACTACATGCAAAATAAATGTCATTCAGGTAGGTCAGTGGTCACCAAATTGCAGCCCAGGGGCTAGATGTGGCTCTTTGCTTGCCTTTATCTAGCCCTTGGGGCACCATTCCCCCTACTGACACAGTGGGGTACTATTCTTCCCTTTGATACCAACAATGGGGCACTATTACTCCCATTAAAACCAATGATGAGGTGCTGATGCCAGGGTATTTTCTACTCCCACTGGCCACAGTCCATCCCCCCAAAGCCTCAAGGACAATAAACTGGCCCTTTGCTTAGAATGTTTGGAGACCCCTGTGTTAGAACATTTGAATAGTCAATTCACTAGCACATACTTCTTTCCTTCTACTCTTGTGGGAGTGTCTAATCACTGTCTGTGCTGTCCAAGCTCCTCACCCTCCCTTCATAAACTATTTTAAGATCAATACATTTTTATTGGTTTTAACAAAGAACAAAGAGAATACAAGGGTAGGAATAATCCCTGCAAAACACACATACAGTATAAAGACGTGCTCCAGTCATAGTAACAGCATTAAGTAACAGTGCAGTTAACCTAAAGACAGCAGTGCTCTGCCACTTGAGACTATATAATAAGCCATATGTGTCATGTATCCATTTAATAATACAAAACATGAATATCAAAAGGTTAGGAAAAAAAGCAGCTCAGGTTGCCTCCATCTCTATACAAACCTTTTTATGTAGCAGCCAGGGAGAAGTGAAGAGGGTTACTACAGAGTGTCACTTGAGTGACAGCTCTTAGTCTGCTGGGGCTGCTGGCCTCACATTCAAGATGGTGGCATCTAACCCTCAAACCACTGGTACACCTGGAGCTCTAGGCAAAGGTTCTACTCACAATGTCCAGACTCAGCTCACCAAGCAGCTTCTCTGTGGCATTCTTCAATGAAAGGGGTCCTTCTCCTGCCCAGCTTCATAAGGTAATGTCCTCCAGCAAGTTACTTTATGTCCAGGTTCCTCCAGGCCCTCAATTAAGCTCATGCTGAGGCCTGATAACAGCAGCCTTTCAGTAATACAGGGTGCCAGCCAGGGGTCTCAGAACAGAGAAAGCTCTGTTCAGACCCTCCTAAACATTTATCTTCTCCCCAGCCAAACCTTCTGGGCCAGCCTCCAAAGAGATTGGTAGAGGTCAGATAAATATTCATAACCAAGTGGTTAACCCGCCTAGTCTGTTTTGGGAAGCTTCCTTCAGAGGCAGGTAGGAGCAATCAACCAGCAGGCTTGGAAATAGACCTAACCAGACCTGAAAAATAAATTGCTGCTCAGCTGGGTACAGCAGAGCTAAAAACTAAATGTAGCCATAAATTTAGGGGTGCTACACAAATATAAAATGTCCTACTCTAATATAAACAGTTACCTCAAACACAAAAATATAGCAAATAAAAAGCCCATTAAATTGTTTTAAGGTACCAGTAGAGTTCAAAAGGTTCCCACTGTAACCAACTTCCAATGTGTGTATACATGCTTTGTTACTGTGAATGCCGATTTGTAAAAGACTAAAAAACAACATCTACGGCCTACAATGAGCCAATGCTGTCTGGCGTGGTAGATTATAGTAATACAGTAGCACAATAACCTCTGTTGATTCACCAGTAAGTAAAGTATAAGTAAAGTGGTGAAATCCTTGTAACTCAGCTGCAAAAAAAAATTAAGTCTATAGAGAGCCCAGAAAGAAGTTACCATGCATAAACTACAGCTTAAAAGCCGTTTAAGCAGTAGTTTCTGCATGGTAACTTCCTTTTGGGCTCTCTAGAGCCCTAATTTCTTTTTGAATGCTGATGTATCCACAAGGTGTTGGCATTCAGCAGTTTTTCTTGTCACAGCCTTAATACAAGTGTTCAGAGACTTCTGGGAGTTGTAGGCTGAAAGCAGAACCTTCTTCACAGTTCAGTTGAAGTTAAGTTACAGAACCCATGAACAATCAACAAGGGGCCACCCCATCAGCCACCAGATGGCCAATGCCTTGCTGAATTGTAGCAGGAAGACTAGGTGAGAGGGTCACTGACTCATACATCATACATCATAGCTACCAGTTACAAGTCAGGTATGTGGAGACTACAATAATCTTCAACATTGGCCTTTTGCAGAGACAAATACAGTATCTCACAGAAGTGAGCACACCCCTCACATTTTTGTAAATATTTTATTATATCTTTTCATGTGACAACACTGAAGAAATTACACTTTGCTACAATGTAAAGTAGTGAGTGTACAGCTTGTATAACAGTGTAAATTTGCTGTCCCCTCAAAATAACTCAACACACAGCCATTAATGTCTGCTGGCAACAAAAGTGAGTACACCCCTATGTGAAAATGCCCAAAGTGTCAATATTTTGTGTGGCCACCATTATTTCCCAGCACTGCCTTAACCCTCTTGGGCATGGAGCTTCACAGGTGGCCACTGGAGTACTCCTCCATGACAACATCACGGAGCTGGTGGTTGTTAGAGAACTTGCGCTCCTCCACCTCCCATTTGAGGATGTCCCACAGATGCTTAATAGGGTTTAGGTCTGGAGACATGCTTGGCCAGTCCATCACCTTTACCCTCAGCTTCTTTAGTAAGGCAGTGGTCATCTTGGAGGTGTGTTTGGGGTCGTTATCATGTTGGAATACTGCCCTGAGGCCCAGTCTCCAAAGGGAGGGGATCATGCTCTGCTTCAGCATGTCAAAGGACATGTTGGCATTCATGGTTCCGTCAATGGACTGTAGCTCCCCAGTGCTGGCAGCACTCATGCAGCCCCAGACCATGACACTCCCACCACCATGCTTGACTGTAGGCAAGACACACTTGTCTTTGTACGCCTCGCCTTGTTGCAACCACACACGCTTGACACCATCTGAACCAAATACGTTTATCTTGGTCTCATCAGACCACAGGACATGGTTCCAGTAATCCATGTCCTTAGTCTGCTTTTCTTCAGCAAACTGTTTTGCAAGCTTTCTTGTGCATCATCTTTAGAAGAGGCTTCCTTCTGGGATGACAGCTTCGCAGACCAATTTGGTGCAGTGTGCGGCCTATGGTCTGAGCACTGACAGGCTGGCCCCCCACCCCTTCAACCTCTGCAGCAATGTTGGCAGCACGCATATGTTTATTTCTCAAAGACAATCTCTGGATATAACCAGGGGGGGCGGACTGGCAACTCATGGGGCCCCCGGGCAATAAGGGATCATGGGGCCCCTGTGACCTTGCCCAAACTCAAAAAAGCCTATGAAAAAGGTACCAGGGGCACCTCATGGGGCACCCTACTGACCCTGGGCCCTCAGGCACTGATGTCAGACGAGAAGGCCTGGCTCACAGTCTCCGCTCTAATTCATCCCAAAGGTGTTCTGTCGAGTTGAAGTCAGGACTATTTGCAGGCCAGTCAAGTTCCTCCATCTCAAACTTGCTTATCCATGTCTTTATGGACCTTGCTTTGTACACTGATGCGAAGTCATGTTGGAACAGGAAGGGGCCATCCGCAAACTGTTCCCACAAAGTTGGGAGCATGAAATTGTCCAAAATGTCTTGGTATGCTGACACACTAAGAGTTCCCTTCCCTGGAACTAAGGGGCCAAGCCCAACCCCTAAAAAACATTTCCACACCATAATCCCCCCTCCATCAAAGTTTACACTTGGCACAATGAAGTCAGGCAAGTACCATTCTCCTGGCAACCGCCAAACCCAGACACGTCCATCGGATTGCCAAACAGAGAAGCGCGATTCGTCACACCAGAAAACACGTCTCCACTGTTCTAGAGTTCAGTGGTGGCATGCTTTACACCACTGCATCTGATGCTTTGCATTGCACTTGGTGATCTAAGACTTGGATACAGCTGCTCGGCCATGGAAACCCATTCCATGAAGTTCTCTACGCACTGTTGTGCTAATCTGAAGGCCACATGAACTTTGGAGGTCTTTAGCTATTGACTCTGCAGACAGCTGGAGACTTCTGCACACTGTGAGCTTCAGCATGCGATGACTCCGCTCTGTCATTTCACGTGGCCTACCACTTTGTGGCTGAGTTGCTGTTGTTCCCAGTTGCTTCCACTTTGTTATAATACCACTAACCGTTGACCATGGAATATTTAGTAGCAAGGAAATTTCACAGATGGACTTATTGCACAGGTGGCAACCTATCACGGTACCACGCTTGAATTCACTGAGCTCCTGAGAGTGACCCATTCTTTCACAAATGTTTGTAGAAGCAGTCAGCATGCCTAGGGGCTTGATTTTAACACCTGTGGCCATGGAGGTGATTGGAACACCTGAATCCAATGATTTGGAGGGGTGTCCCAATACTTTTATTTTATATATATATATATATATATATATATATCATCGTTTGTGGACTCTATACACTGATTGGGTTACTTTTACCAAAGAAATGTAGCAAACTACAATTTGGACTCAATCTGTGAAGAAAGATTATTTATTTGCAAAATTTTATAACAGAAACTAAGACAAAAAGTGTTTTTTTCTTCAAAATGTTCAGTATTTCTACATTTATATACCCCCCAAAAATAAAACAAGCCAGTATTGATTAAATACCACCAAAAGCTCTATCTGTCTCAAAAAGATAAAAAAAATTATTTTGCGTACAGTGTAGCATGACTGAGTAGTTGGCATTCACAGTATTGCAGTACTGAAAACTGGCCTGTGCAGGAAGGGGATGAAAGTGTATGGTATTGAAATGGTTAAAGAGGTAGTATGGCCAAAGCTATACTTCTCCTGTAGGTCACAGGAGTGTAGAACTAAGTGTACTCCTACTCCTAAGTGTAGTCAGTCAATGTCGCTCCGACTGTCCAGACTCTGGAGGGATCCTGACTTTAATGTCGGGATTCACCCAGATGCCTGAGTGGCAGTTGAATTGGCTTATCAATGTACCGTTGAGAGCCTGGGCCAGTGGATCCCTCCCCCTGCATAGCCCAGTGCTTCAATGACAGTCACCGCTCTCTGCTCACTGAAGACTGAGAACTGAGCAATCAGCAGTCTTTGATTGCTCAATTCTTGGTCAAAGAGGCAGCAGGGGACGGATGCAGTATTTGACTGATACTGCATCCACCTGGTGAGTATGTATGTTTGTTTTTTATTTAAATCCCTCACTTCTTTTTTTAAAAATTGGGCAGTGTTTTTATTAGTGAGGGAGCAAGTCAGTATTTTCTCTGCAGTTTTTCAAGATCTTGTTGCTGGAGTCAATCATTATAAATAGGATTGCTTGTGTTACATGGCACATAGAGGAAATAATACCAGTGCTTCTGCCTGAATGACAGCCAGTCTCTGGAATCTATACTATAGTGGCACCTATAAGCATGAGCCTATCATGCATAATTTAAAATATGGCCCTGGTCATGAAGTGTGACTATGATACAAACCATGACCACGAGTAAATCAAATAATTGAATTAACTATACACTCATTGTGCTGTATGTTTGTTTTTCTCCTGCTTTTAACTGCTAGTTACAGTATTCATATATTCTATACGTGCAAAACTTTTTCTTATGTTTGGTGAAACTATATTTAAATAATCAATTTTCCAAAAAATGTATTTTATCTTATGGATTGTAAACAAAGATCTTTCCTGGGAATTGTAAACTTATCTGCAAAATAAAGTTGTTTCAGACTATTCAATAAAGAAAAAATGAAACGTAATATTATGATGATGTCTGTAGCATGTCATGTAATAAAGTATACTAATGGGACAGTAATCAGTGCCACTTTCTATTGACTGTAGATGACAAAACCTTCTTATTACCTCTGAGAAATGAGTCTGCTAGGGTTATTCTCACACTTTTCCCTTGCTCTTTTGGCTGCTGAGACCTTGGTCTCCTGGGATGATAGATTTTCCCATCTCTGTGTTTCCCTCCAAGCCATATTTGCACAAACCCACAAGCTTGGGTTGGGGTCAGCCAGCAAATGTATTTTAAGTCTCTTGAACTTAAGGAGCAGCCTAGTAGGAAACGTGAACCCACTGAGTCTTCTGCGCCAAAGAAAACAAAGGAAAACGTCTCTCTTTCCCCACAGAGCACTCGTAATTGCAAATCATTAATAACCATGTGATGTATGCTCTGAGTTTCTTAGTAAGGCACATTTCAGGCTCTCTGTACAAGCCTGTTGTAAAATACATGACCTGCTAACAACAGGCTATATTTGAATGACATGTAATAAATATTTGTTATTAAATTTATCGGTGGTTGTCAATCACCTGTTGGAGAAAAGAGGAAAGAAGTATCTGTATCAGCCCACATGAAAGAGAAATATATTTCCAACATACAGTATTTAGAAATTTAGAAAAAAATATATATAGTTACAATATATTGGCCTACGCTAACATATTTTAACATGTATTCTAAAAAATTTTAATTTAAATATATTTTCTAAAGGCATATATTTAAAAATATATATTTTTGAAATATATTATTCAGATTTTTTTTACATATAAAAAAGTCATTTTAACATATATTTTTATATATATTTGTAAATGCAGTCCAAAAATGTAGATTAAATGTATTTTCAAAGAATATATTTGAAAATTTATTCTTAAAAATATTTTTCTGATTTTTTTAATATATAGAAAAAACGCATTTCAACATGCAGTAAAAAAAAAAAAAAAAAAAAAAAAATATATATATATTTATAATTTTTATTTTTTTTTAAATATATTGAATACAGCCAAAATTGTAGTATCTCAAATATATGTCAATATATTTGGAAAGAATATTTTTTAAATATATTTAAAATAATTGCAGCCTGAGGTTAAAGTAGAACTTTGCTCAAAAAGTTAAGTCCTGCGGTTCAACATCCCCCCAGCCTGTAACAGTTCTTTGTTTTTGGGCCGGGACGGGGGGACAAGTGCCCATTTTTATCAATTGCCACTCCCACAATCCTTACCTAGGTAAGGATGACATCCCTTGTCAGACCTCCTTCTCCTCCTGTTTCCTGGGAAATGTCACATGTCCCAGGAGGCTGCAGGACCATTCACAGAGCACCATGTGACACGCATGCACAGTGGGGAGTCAGCTGTTGTTCTGCAGGAAGCCACAGCTGCCTCCCATATCCAAGATGTAACCGTAGCGGTAAAAAGAACTGGCTGCAAGAAGACAGTGCTAGATTCCATATACTGGTAAGTACCTGATTTTCAAAAGTCAGCAACTACAAAATGAAGTTCCTCTTTAACATGCATTCTCATCAATTGCAAATACCTGTCAATTAATCTCTCTTCCCGTCCGCCCATAGTCTATTGACGGTGGACACAGGGGCGGACTGACCATTTGGAAACTCGGGCACTGCCCGAGGGCCTGGGGTCAGTAGGGGGCCCCATGAGATGCCCCTGGTACCTTTTTCATAGGCTTTTTTGAGTTTGGCAAGGACACAGGGGCTCCATGATCCCCTATTGCCCGGGGGCCCCATGAGTTGTCAGTCCACCCCTGGGTGGACAGGAAGCTTTGCCGATGCAGGCTAATATACCTGTACGTCAACCTGCATGGGGGACTCCTGCTGAGCTCACAGAGCACGCACCCGGAAGCCAAGCGATCGGTATATCGTCCAGACACAGCAGATCATATTACCGTTGTGTCTGGGCAATCACATAATGTTTTACCATGTGATTGTTGTGTACAATCACAGCAATCACATAGTAAACACTAGAAAGTGAAACTAAAAATTGCTTCTCTCTGCTTTCACTATGACAGTAGAGAAGCTATCCTGCAGCCTGTCAGGCTGCTTTTACACTCACAGACTGCAGTGCCAGCCAGTCACAGTGTCCCTGATCACTGCCCCAGTGTAGGGACAATAAAAAGTGCAGTCAGCCCATATCACCTCTTCTAGTGCTCACAAAACACCACCATACACCATATCGGTTTCCTGATCACCACCATACCAGCATCCTGATCACCACCATACCCCAAACCAATGTCTTGATCACTGCCATACCCCATACCAGCATCCAGATCACTGCCATGCCCCACACCAGCATCCTGATCACTGCCATATCCCATACCAAAGTCTTGATCACCACCATACTCCAGACCAGCATTCTGATCACCGCCATACCCCATACCAGCATCCTGATCACCGCCATACCCCATATCAGCGTCCTGATCACCCACATACCCAATACCAGCATGCCGATCACTGCCATACTAGCGTCCTGATCACCGCCATACCCCATAACAGCGCTCTGATCACCCCCCATACCCCATATCAGCATCCTGATCAATGGCATACGTCATACCAGCGTCCAGCATTTTAGGGTCTCAACTGATAAATTTTCAGATATATATTCTATAGTTTGTAGACTCTATAGCTTTCACATTGACTAAATAATATACACTGTTTTTGTTGATTATTACCACAAAAATGTAGCAGAATACATTTTGGCCTAAATTTATTTATTTGCAAAATTTTATAACTAAAACTAATAAAAAAAAATGATTTTTTTACAAAATTTTTGGTCTTATTTCATGTATATAGCAAAAAATAAAAAACCCAGTGGTGATCAAATACTACCAAAAGAAAGCTCTATCTGTTTAAAAAAAAAGTATAAAAGTTTCATATGGGTACAGTGTTGCACGATTGAGTAAATGTCACTCAAAGTGTGATAGTGCTGAGAGCTGAATATTGGCCTGAACTGGAAGGGGGTGAAAGTGTCCTGACATGAAGTGGTTAATGATTCTGGTTTGAATGCAACACTCATTGTGAGGCCACACCGGCCTCATCCACACACAAGGAGGGTGCCTAGTACAAAATAACCTGAAAAGAGGATGCTGTCCACCTAGAAATGTGAGATGGATCTAAAAGTATTATGTGTGGCGGTATGGAATTGTTTTGATCTTTCAGGGTCATTTGCACAAATGGAGTGTCAACAAATGAATAAAAAGATTTTTGATAAAGGTTTCTTTTACACCAGGGTAAAACAAGGGGCCAATTTACTCTCCTTCAGACTTTAGTGGGGCTGGACCGTTGCCACTGGGAGTAGAAAAGGTCCTGACGTCAGTTGGAAAAAAACAATGTCCCATTGTTGGTGTAATAAAATAAAGTGGGTGCAATAACTAAAAACAAGTCATATACACGCACACAATCAACATGTAGTCATGCAGGTACCTTTTAATCAGATTTTAAACCATTACATATTCTACACTTGTGAAAGACCATCTACTAAATGAACACCTTCCCTAGCACATCATTGCTAGAGATGAGCGAATTATTCAAAAATTCGATTCGGCTGATTTGCCGAATTTGCGGAATAAATTCGATTCTATGCGAATTTAACTTATTAAAAGGGTTTCTAGGCTTCAGAGAGCCTTTATATTAGTGCAGAACACTGTACCTTTAATTTAAATGCCCTTGGAGTCTGCTGGGGAAGAGAAATAATACTGTCAGTCAGTTT